AAACGGATGATAAATTCACTAATTTTAATGTTGCAATGTGTCGACATCTTTTGCTTGCCATTTTTCATAACTACTTTGTCCCTAACCAAATAAGAGTGGTGCACACACTAGTGCTATCACGCATTTTTGCGATGCGCTGTTGTGGACTTACGGTAGGTGACTGCAGCAAAAGCAAGGGAGGTCTATTTACGACGTTTTTTTTTTTTTGTTAACTCATCGGATGATACAAGAATCTAATAGCGCTAAAGGCTTCGCTGTTTGAACTTGAAGTTGGTAAGTCAAATCCTTCACAAATGTCGCGTTGCAGTAAGCGTTAATGCTGTTTTTACGTTCTCAGATCCGTAAATAGGAAGTTAAGGAGAGAAAACAGCGGAAAAAATGATGGACTGTACAGGAGGTCTAGCGCATCACCAAAAATATGCTCCTTGACTCCGAGGACACATGCAAGTGGATGCTCCTTGACTCTAAATAAAGTTACGACGGGATTGCTAGATTTCCAGTCTTGCGAGTAAAAACTCGAAATAGGTCTTCATTCTATAAAATGCGATACAGGGTAATTAAACTCCGAAAATCTTGAGACTGCAGCGTTATTAGCCTGCAGGCTATAAAGGTACATAGAATTGAGACGTAAGATCATAGGTTAGGTCATAGACATAAACTTGAGATTGATACCAAGTGAGTGACTACAATTGAAGATTTGTTCTGTCAATGCCTAAAGTCCTTTACAAAATCAACGCTGGACGAAACGACTGAAGAAAATACCGTGACTGTTTCCCGGTTTCACATGTAGTCGATTTCGGGACGTAATGCCGAAAAAGACTGTTCGCACAGCAACTACAAGAGAGTCTGTCTGTAAAGCTACTGCGATACCAATGGCAATTCGATCGTAGCAAAAACCGTAAGCAAAAAAGGCTCAGAACTAGTTTTGTGGCAGCAAAAATTGCATCTAAGGTATCATCATAAAAATTTTATTATCGCTTTATCAGTGCATTGATCATAGTTTTTTGGCGTGCATTTCAAAATATACATATATCTCTCTAAACAAGAAAAGCTTCCTGTTTCTGAATGAGCTGGAATCCTGGCAAGCAGTAACTTCATTACTGAATGAATCACAGTTCCGGGACGCGAGCATTACTTAGAAATCGGCCCCTGGGATGCAGTGATGCTCTGAGCGAACATCGGCAACTTCACATTTGTCCCGTGTGACAAAAAATTTATGACAGGTATTTTAAAAGTTCTGAAGTGTGCACTATGAATGAATTTCAGATTTTCTGCTCTGTGATCAAAAGTGGAAATCCTTCGGTAAGCAAATGAATAAATGGAATAAGACAGCTACATAATGAATACATGAATTAGTGAACAAATTTGAGAAGATTTATAAGTACTAATTCCCCATACAATACTTATTTATCCACAGACCTCAAATTTCGAGTTAGGGCTTACGCACAGATCAGGTTATTCGACTTATTTATGAGCAGTGATATTCCATCTTTTTTTATGGGGGATGGATGGAAGGGGTGACAAAAAGCTTGTCTTTTGCCCTCTTCCTCTATCCTCAACTTCTTCGTCCCTTTCTCAACCTACTCACCCTTCCGTCTTCTCACCCCCTCCCCCTCTGTTCCCCTCAACTGAACTAGATTGTTATAAACACTTTTACATTTAGAGAATTATCTGCGAGCAAAAGTCGATTCAAGTTGTTTGCCCATTTCGACTTTTCCCCTATCGATCCTTTATTTAATGCATTTTGCTGAGATTGAAGACCGGAAGCAATTTGTACAAATATTTGCAACAATCCCCATTTTTTTTAAAAAAATTTGTGTTTTGAGGTTCGAAACGTACCGTGGAGTGCGCTGTGGTCCCAGATCTTTTTTCATTTTGTTCCGAGTTCCTTATGGAACGATTTGTGCAGTGATGCAGATTAGGACTTTTTCGAAGAACAATCTTGGAAGAATTCGGTGTTAAATGCTTTCTGCATGATGAAAGAATAATTCACTTTCCTAACATTCTGGTAACAAGAAACTGTTTCTGTTACGCCACCCGACCACTCCCTGCTAAACTGCTAACAGTATCCGTTCCTCGGCCTCTTTTGTTGTCATACACCCAACAATGCTTTTAGCCCCATTGCTGCTCTGGAAATTGCAGGCGCCTCCCACTAACCATTATCCACTGTCGTATGTGCGCTCATTCTAATGAACAATCACAAAACTATAGAAAGTTGTTATAAAAAAAAATTCATTTTTTTCGCATAAAATGCA